ACTGCCTTGCCAGAAATGGACCAAAGTGGCCTCCTCACAGGACCCTGTGTTGGAGTAATTAAGGCCTCCACAGCCACGATTTCAGGGGAGGAAGATAATCACCCTGGGCCCGGCACCAAAAGTTATGATGTGGTCCAAGGATGTGAGGTAATGCCATCTCCTCCCTCCACACTGGTGCAGGTGCCCCAACCTATCTGCTTTCAATGCCCAGAACAATACTCGCCTGAGACATCACTTAATAAATACTTCTTCATTCTCTCTAGTAACTGATCAAAATGGTAGTGAATACAATCAGGATTACTGTGAACAGAGCAAGGAATTTGGAATCAGAGACTTTGTGTCATGGTTTGAATTATGTCCCCCCAAAAATGTGTGTATCAGTTTGGCTAGGCCATGATTCCTGGTACTATGTGATTTTCCTGTATGTTGTAAACCTGCCCCTATGATGTTAATGAGGGAGGATGGGTGGCAGTTGTGTTAGTAAAGCAGGACCTGATCTACAAGACTGGATTGTGTCCTGAGGCAATCTCTTGAGATATAGAAGACAGAAGTGAGCAATAAGACAGGGGGACCTCATACCATCAAGAAAGCAGTGCCGGGAGCAAAGCGCGTCCTTTGGACCGGGGTCCCCGCGCAGAGAAGCTCCTAGTCCAGGGGAACACTGAAGAGAAGAAGGCCGACAGAGAGAGAGAAAGACTTCCCCTGGAGCTGACGCCCTGAATTTGGACTTTTAGCCTACTTTAACTGTGAGGAAATAAACTTCTCTTCGTTATAACCATCCACTTGTGGTATTTCTGTTATAGCAACACTAGATGACTAAGACACCTTGCTTCAAGTCTTTGCTTTGCTATGGCTTGTTAGACCTTGGGCTGGTCTCTCAATTTCTTTGGAGCACCTGTTAACTCTATCTCTTAGGGCTGTGAAGCTAAACTAACAGTAGCTGTTAACTAGGATTTAACTGTCAAAGAAGACTCACAGGACCCAAAATGCCAATACGTACAAATCTGCAGTTTATTACAGGAAAAGGACTGAGCATAGCAACAGTATTAAAGTGAGCATACACATCATTGCTGAAGGTTGCCTCATAGCAAGGGGTCCCAGGAGGCCAGGGGCAGACTCCTGTTGTCCTCCCTTCTCTAAGGCCCATGGCAGGATGCACTTGCTCTCTTGGATCAGGAACTACCGATGATAGACCCATGGAATACCTTGGAACCAGTGACCCCAAAATGGAACCTCCACCGGGGTTCCCTGCATTTTTCTGGTCACTAGGCATATTCCTTCTATGTAACCAGCCTCAATAGCAGAATCCGCCAACGGTCTCACTGAGACCAACTGCAAATCATCAGTCTCACTGTTATCGATAAACAATGATTACAAGCTAGTACACAGCACTCTGAAACTCCTCAGACCCATGGTTACAAAGCAACACTATTAATCAGTATGCTTCATGCCTTGACCAGGGGTCAGTGCTGGGCAGGAACTTTAGCAAAACAACTCAGGAATTAACTCTTACAACACCTGTGCCATATAAAAAAATGTACATGGTTAATAAACTATAAAGTATCATAGAACGCTGTTGTTTCAGTATATGCAACTTCCTCTTATTTCTTTAATTTCCATGATGGACACCTTCCTGGAGGGGCCCTTCACCTACCCTATTCTGGGGGTTTAGGGAGGATAACACATGCCAGGCAAGGGTAGTAGAAGGGAGACTTTAATAGGACAAAGAAGAAACAACGGGGACTCCACCAGTTAGTCTGTAATTTTTTTTTTCCTAACGCTGCCTAGCAAAGGACCATGCTCAGATGAGGGGCTTGGGGAAACTTCCCGAAGAGACCCATGATGACCTCATGACTGCTACTAGATGGACACAGGATGATAGGCTTGGTACCTTTTCATGTTCCTACAGATCTTCTAGCTACTAATGAGTCCTTCTTTCATTAAACACCCTGGTATTTTTCATTTTCGTGTTGTTGTTGTTCCTACTTGCCAGTCCAGTTGATTCCGAATCATGGTGACCCCATGTGTATTGAGTAGAACTTCTCCATAGGGTTTTCAGAAGCAGATTGCCAGGGCTGTTTTCCAAAGCGCCTCTGGGTGGGTTTGAACCACCAACCTTTCAGTTAGTAATCATTTACGCCACTCAGGGACTCCATTTTCTGAGAGTAATACAAATCCTAGTTCCCTGGAAATTTTCTCAAAATGCAGATAGCTTCAGTCTACAGTGGGTTTGAATATGCTGAAGACAGGGGGTAATCCCACCCCAGACCTTTTGCTAGCTCCTCCATCTTCTATGAATTCTGTCTGCATGGTCCTTTGGTACTTATGAGACCAGAAGACTGTTTTGTCTCAACTCTTTTTCACTGATATAGTTGGAAGTCTTGTCTAGTTTGTGTTCTTGTGGGATCTTCCTTTGTAAGCCATTGTTGGAATGGAACACTATAGTTTCCCAAAGAGAAACAATTTCATTTCTCTCATCTTAATAGGGAGAGGAAAGGACAGGGTAGAAGGTAATGTAAATTTAAATGCCAATATTAAACAGTCAGAAGGTATAAATTTCTGCGTTTGGAGAGTATCAGTAAAGTGAAAAAACACCAGATCCCCGAAGGGATGATGATCAGCAAATACTGCATACCCTCTATGTGTGTGGCACTTGGGGCCACAGAGCAAAAAGAGACACAAGACCTGTTACTGGGGGCTGACATTCCAATTGAGGAGATAGGACAGACACATAAAATATGAATTACAGAACAGGTAGTCCCTGATTTATAACAGATTCAAGTTACGACGAACCATGCTTACGACCATCTTTTTTTTTTTTTTTTTTTGTAAGTCTTATCATTAGTAATATGTACTACATATAATCTTGCAGCATGTGGAAAAATTGGCCATGTGGCAAGCACGCTGAATTTAGAACTTGATATCATTGATGTAGAACAGCTCAGAGATCACAAAGAAGAGGAATTGACAGATCAGGATTTAATGGATTTTGAAGAGGAAAGAAATGCTGAAGAAAAAAGAAGTAATGAGGAAGAGGAAGGAGAGAAGTTGTCAACATTTTTTTACATTGAAAGGATTATCTAAAGTTTTTTCTAAACTAAATCAGGGGCTTCAGTTTTTGAAAACATGAACCCAAACACTGATCGCTTTGCTAATGTTGATAGGCAGATTTGGGAAGCAGTGAGATGTTACCTCGAAATATATGAAGAAAAAAAGAAAAGGACCATACAGACAACTCTCACTAATTTTTTGACTAGAAATGCTATCCCCATTCTGAGGGACAATCCAGATGATCCAGAACCTTCCACAAGTGGAGTTATTACTGCAACTGACAAAATGCCAATGTTGTCCAGCTCTTCTTCATTATCAGAGTAAATTTTTATTATGTGTATATTTTTTTGTGTGTGTATGTATTAAAATATATCTTTTTATAGTTTATATGTAATGTTTCCAACCCCAAAAAACAAATAAAAGATTGGATTTATAAACTTACTGACAATAAAAGGCAATAATAATGAAAACTAAAAAAAAAAAAAAAAATGAAGTACTCAACTTACATCAGAACCAATTTATGACAGAGTCATCAGAATGGAACCCCGTAGTCTGGGACTACCTGTATAATAACTCATACTACATTTGTTGAGCATTTATTCTGTTTTAAGCACTGTACTAAGCACTTGGCATGCATTTGATGGGCAGCCAGCCAATAAGACGTCCAGGGTGCAGAGGGAAGAGACTTACCAAGAGTGGGGGCAATCCAGGAAGACTCCAAGGGTGAGGTGGGACTAAGCTGGGCCTTGAGGGAAGCGTACGCTCAAATGAGAGGAAAGAGGAAACTGTGGGCATATTCTTTCATTTGAGTTTATGAGGGTGATGCCTGCTTCCAAAACCCTGAAGGCAGGGTTATATATAAAAGCAATCAGCGTTTTGGTCCCTGTTTTCAAACAACCGAAGGCCCTGATTTAGTTTAGAAAAAACTTCAGCTATAAAATTTTTTGACAACTCCTCTCCTTCCTCTTCCTCCTTATTTCTTTTTTCTTTCTTCTTCAAAATCCATTAAGTCCTGATCTGTCAGTTCCACTTCTTGGTGATCTCTGAGCTGTTCCACATGGGCAATATCAAAAAAGTGTGGCTGCCACTCTAGAGTCCTCTGTAACCCTGGTGTTTGAGAGCAAGGGTAATTGTCAATTCTCAGCTTCTCAAAAGAAGACTAGGGAGAAGCACAGTCAGCATCACATCAGCCCTTCAAAAAAACGGGATTTGGCCTGTTGAAGCAAAAGTATGGTATAGTACATGGATTTTTTTGGAAGGGAGGGATTATAATGTGTTTTTATAAGAAATCTCAGAATTAATCTGTAAATTTAACATGATTGAATTCTAGACATTATGCATATACTACCTATTCAAAAATAAAATTTAATTAAAAAAGCTTAACTTCAATAATCCAAGCAGACATAAACAGATCATCCAAGATTCTTGGATCCCTTGAATAAGGAAGAGGAAGGGTAATAAGTAATTGGTTGAATCTTTGGCCCTTCTATCAGAAGGCATTTTCTTTGTTTAAGACCAAGACAGCAGCCCCTCAGTACCTCAGTTTACCTACAGGATGATTTGCCATCCTCAAATTGTCCCACAAATTTTCAGAGAAAGGCCAGAATCTCTACAAAGACTGACTTGACAAACACACAAATCTCTGCTATGGAAATTATTTCCCCAACCTTAGACCTTTGAAGGACTTCCAGCACAGGCCAGTTAATGCAGAGGGAAAGGAAGTCTATAGCAAACATGGGCTAGACTGTGATTCTTTAGGCATCCCTCTTCTCCAGGGTACCCCTCCCCCTGCCTCCAAGGGCTCCCTGGAGCTGTACCATCAACTCCTTGCTGCAGGTAAATCAACAGTTGAACAGGAACCCCCACAGTCATCATACAATGGCACATGCAAACCAAGTAGGCCAAGGAATGTTCCAAAGGTAAAATCAGTGGCAAAATGGAGTTCCTACCTGACACAGCAGCCAAGAGAAGCAGGAGAGTGACTGCTTCCTGCATATTTAAGAGTTCACTTCTGTGTGAGTTTCCAGCATATCATCCAGGAGCTAAATCCTGCCTTACACCCAAAGTTTATTCCAGATGCCGCTCATCTTCCCCTTCTGGTTTGTTACCAGGCAAAAAAATCTAACAAAACTCTGGTGGTAGCTAAGGGCGACTCTAAACACCACAGGACTGTTTGTTCTTTGATTACCTGCTTCTGTGACTTCTTGGTGCCTGAGAGGCTTCCCAACCTGTCCCAGTCAGCTCAGGGTCCATCTGAAAAGTCCACACCCACTGTGCATCCCAACAGAGAGCTCCAAAAGAGAAGTCAAATGAGAAAAGAAAGAGCAGACACTGAGATGACTGTAAAAAATGCACATAGGTGTAGTCTGTCCATGGTGGTCTTAATAGCCCTGTAGCCTGGCATGATGTCATTCCAGGAAGCAGGGATGGGGAGGTGGGGATTTTTATGATACCCTGAATGGTTGAGTAGGGCTTGGAGTTGAAAATAAACTGGAATTCGTTCTCAAGAGAGGAGCCAACAACTGGGGCCAGACCCCTCCTCAAGGCAGATTCAGCAGGGATACACACTGCCCTTTGACTCCATCCATATCACACCCCACACCCCCATCCCTCAAAGAGATCTGTGGAAGGAGATGATTGGAGTGGTAAGGTATCTGTCCACTGGGGAGTGATGTGATGTGGCCAGTCCCTCCAGGGCATCTGCTGACCAGTACAATGCTTTTATGCTGCATGCAGCCCAGGCCAGGCACAAGGCTTGGTGAATGAAACACAGGCTGGATTTTAGCCTCTCCTCAGAAAAGAGAAGAATCAGTGGTGAGTCAGAGAAAGGACGGTGGTGGAACAGCCTGTCCTCTCCGTGTAGTGCAGTAAGAATAACAGTGGACACAAGTAGCTAGACTTGGGCCATCTCTCTACTCCCCTCACTTAAGAACTGCCCATAAGAAAAACAAAGTGGGAGGGCTCAAACTACCTGATCTTAGAACCTATTATACAGCCACAGTAGTCGAAACAGCCTGGTACTGATACAACAGACACACAGACCAATGGAACAGAATTGAGAACCCAGACATAAATCCATCCATGAGCAGCTGATATTTGACAAAGGGTCAAAATCCATTAACTGAGGAAAAGACAGCCTCTTTAACAAATGGTGCTGGCATAACTGAATGTCCATCTGTGAAAAAAATGAAACAGGATCCATACTTCACACCATACACAAAAACTCACTCAAAATGGATCAAAGGCCTAAATACAAAACTTAAAATGATAAAAGATTATGGAAGAAAAAATAAGAACAATGTTTGGGGCCCTAATACACGGCATTAACGGGATACAAACCATAACTAACAATGCACAGCACCAGAGGAGAAACTAGATAACTGAGAGCTTCTAAACATTAAATACTTATGCTCATCAAAAGACCTTACCGAAAGAGTTAAAAGAGAACTACAGACAGGGAAAAAATTTTTGGCTACAACATATCCAACAAGGGTCTAATCTCTAAAATCTATAAAATACTTCAGCACTTCAATAACAAAAAGACAAATAATCCAATTTAAAAATGGGCAAAGGATATGAACAGACACTTCACCAATGAAGACATTCTGGTGGTTAACAGATACATGAGGAAATGCTCATGTTCATTAGCCATAAAAAAAAAACCCGTTGCCTTTGAATCAATTCCAACTCATAGTGACTCTACAGAACAGAGTAGAACTGCCCCATAGGGTTTCCAAGGAGCAGGTGACGGACTTGAACTGCCGACCTTTTAGTTAGCAGCCAAACACTTAACCACTGTGCCACCAGGGCTCATTAGCCATTAGAGAAATGCAAATCAAAACTACAATGAGATACCATCTCACTCTGACTATACTGGCACTAATTAAAAAAACAGAAAATAACAAATGTTGGAGAGGTTGTGGGGAGACTGGAACTCCTATGCACTGCTGGTGGGAATGTAAAATGGTACAACCACTATGGAAAACAATATGGTGCCTGCTTAAAAACCTAGAAATAGAAATACCAAACGATCCAGCAATCCCACTCCTAGGAACATATCCTAGAGAAATAAAAGCCATCACACAAATAGACATATGCATACCCACATTCATTGCAGAACTATTCACAATAGCAAAAAGATGGAAACAACCTAAGTGCCCATCAACAGATGAATGGATAAACAAACCATGGTACATACACACAATGCACAGAAAGAAACAATCTTTGATGGTTATGAGGGAGGGGTGAGGTGGGGACAGAAAAACACTAACTACACAATTGATAAGTGTCAACTTTGGTGAAGGGTGAGACAGTACACAATACTGAGGAAGTCAGCACAACTTGACCGAGGCAAAGTCATAGAAGCTTCATAGACACATCCAAACTCCCTGAGAGACCGAGTTACTGGGCTGAGGGCTGGGGACCATTGTCTCAGGGGACATCTAGCTCAATTGGCATAAAGTAAGTTATAAAGAAAATGTTCTACATCCTATTTTGGGGAGTAGCGTCTGGGGTCTTAAAAGCTTGCAAGTGGCCATCTAAGATACTTCTATTGGTCCCATTCCATCCAGAGCAAAGGAGAATGAAGAAAATCAAACACACAAGGAAAAGATTAGGCCAAAGTACTAACGGACCACAACTACCACAGCCTCCACCAGCCTGAGCCCAGAAGAACTAGATTGTGCCCGGCTACCACCACCAACCACTCTGACAGGGATCGCAACAGGGAGTCCCAGAAAGAGTGGGAGAAAAATGTAGAACAAAATTCAAAT